TTATTCTACGAGGTATGTAAAAACTTGGTTTGTAAACTTATATGGAATGATTTTGTTAAAATTTCGAGTCCACATATTAATATTCTATTTTCAAATATCGACTTATGTAATTTAGTGGGATTTTTGTATGCACAACAATCGATAATTCGAATTTATTTAACTATCTATTTCGATGTAAGTTAAACATATTCTAAGTATGTTTCAATCCTATTCTTAGTCAGAATTCATATACAAAGTAACACATTCAATTGCACGATTGTCTATATAATTGCATATGATATACATATTATTCCTAAAATCTATTATCATTGTGTGAATCATGTAGTGTTCGAAACTTATTGTGAGTTTCTCAGTAACACAACAAGCAATTAATTATCTGAATGGTGCGCAACCATTTAAATAATGCAACGAGCATGCATAATTAATTAAGATTCACAAGAATTACTAAATTATTTATCTTTGGATTAAGAATAAATAAACAAAGGGTTCATTTTCATCCAATACAACTAATGATTTAGCCTAAATGATTTCTATAATATTATAAGAAGAATAATGAATAGATGTCACTCAAAACATAAATGGATAAAAAAAATCTTGATCTTCAATTCCAAGCTCAAAATTGTCAAGTTCTTGATATAATTAGTCTTCAATTTCTTGCTAGGTTGATCTTGTCTCCCAATAGTGTGAATTGACCTCTTATTTTTTATGAATATTATGATATAAATGTGAATTAAGAGGCTAGAGAGAATTTCTTGATGTTTAGACCTTGATATGTATTTATACGTGGTTGATTTTGGTTAAAAAACGCGTTCAATTTGGATTGCAAAAGAGTTTGTATCACAAAAGCAAAGTTGGCCTAGTTTGTCAAAATTTGACCAATGTTTATGCATACTAGATCTGCTTGTCCATGCATGGCAAGTGAAATCGACCTCGGAGGCCCAAAAAAGTGCCCTTGCGCACGTATGTGCATACAAATGGGCAAATGAGTTTTTTAAAATAGGTTTCCTTTTGTCTTCTATTCTCATCCAAGTGACTCCATATAATTTTCAATCCTCATTTTATAGTTCGGATCAAGTATTAATCTTTAGAAATCATCCATTTTCACCGATTTTCGTTCTTTTATTTAAATTTCACGTTCAATAATTTAGTTTTACCTAACAAATAAAAGATTAAGCTATAATTCATCAAAAGTAATACAAATTTCCAATTTAATAGTCTGAATAAGTGTATAAATTATCTTATCAAAATACCCTAAAATTGAATATTTGTTTGTTCTCAAAAAAAATTATAAATTATTTCAACAAACAAATATGCGATAATTTTGATCAGCTAACATGCCGTTTGCCTATGGATTGGAATCATTATATTAAGAGCATGTTTGAACCCCATTAAAAAGTTAATAATGCATTTTGGAATTGTAAATTGGTGGAGTATAGATTGAAAAATAAGTAAAAAGTTTTTTATTTGTGTGTGTAATATTATTTTGTTAAAAAATGTATGGTTGAAAAAAAGAGAGAAATATATTTTAAAGAAGATAATAATCAAACAAGGGCTAGGTATATGAACAACTTCAAAATGAAAATATTGAAATCAATTTATACTTATCCAATGTAAAAATGATGTGTGTGTGAAGAGTTAAATAAAATACCATAAATTCACAAGTTACTTCAATTCTTGACCTCAATGGTCAAATATATCGTTTCTTCACTCGTAACATACATACCCCTAAACTTATTTTTATAACTCTCATTCCCAAGGTTTAATCTAAGGTTGAATAATATATTAATTATTACACTCTAGTTTGAATATATCTCACTAGTTGAAAGTCATTTTTCAACTAGGCTAACAATTTGTCAAATGTCTAATTCTTTCAAATAAGCGCTTTAGACTTAATCAATGCAAGTAATGCATTTTCTGTTTTATATACCCGTTTTTTAATATTTGCTGTGTGTATTTTGTTTTATGCACTAGCTTTATCCCTTTTTGAATTTTATTTTTGAAATTTTCAATAAGTGTGTGCATTTAAATCTTTTACAAGGTAACTTTCACTCATGAATTATAGTAGTCTTTTTACTTTTTATGCAATATTTAGTGCAATGCCCCTCATTAAACACTCATTCTCTTAATATTTTCACATACATTTCATTTTATTAACTTTAGACAATTTACACAAAAAATTTACACACACGGGGTCTCATTATATTTCTACAACAGTTCAATCACCCCCAATAGGATCTGTCCCCCCTTCCAAAGATTAGTAGTACTCATTGGGACCCAAACCCAATTTTCAAACATCTACTATATAAAATTTTAGCTAAAATTATGTAAAAAGTGGACTTGTGAGTCCAAGTTATCATTCTCTCAAGGAACGTTTCTTTCAATTACATGATAGTTGAATTGAATTTTTACGATTAAATACATACAGTTGAATTTTAGTCTTGAAAGTAAAAAAAGAAAATGATTTTAAAGTTCAATTAAAATAGCAATGTTGAAAGTGATGGAAAATTTGGATTAAAAACGAGTTGAGAACCATGATTTCACTTTACCATCGTTTCACTAATACCTCAATAAGTCAAAAATGCAAACTACTCAATTACAATGTTATATCCAATTTTCCTATTTTAGCTAATTATTTCTCTCGAGTGAAACTAACCCTCAATCAAATAGTTTAACCTACTATATCTCTATATTAATTGAAACACAATCAATAGCATTAAATCTTTGTAAAAATAATTCATGGGTCATCCAGGGTTAGAAATAAATCTCTATCTCCTACAAGAAACTAGGGCATTTAATAGTTTGGTCGAAAATGCACAATAATCTTTCAATAATTGCACAAATCACCTAACCTAATCATCTATTAGCCTCATACATGATGGGAGTTGAAACACAATAATAAATGCACAAGAATATAAGTGATTTCAACATTGAATAACATACTTTGGCATGAATGAAACTAGGTCAAGCTATATCATAGATTCCAACATTCAACACTTAGCTCATATTGGAACAAAGGCACAATAAAAAATAAGGTAGAAATCCAAAACAAAATCAAGAAAATAAAGGTTTAATACAAGAAAGTGGATAAAACCTATCCCATGGATGGTTTCATTGGGCAATGAGATAGTTTAATCTTGATCTCCCCTTCAAAATCCTCCACTTTGTTTGCTATTTCTTTCTTTTCTTGTGCCTCCTTTTCTCCCTTGAATATTTATTAATGTGTGCCAAGAGAGTTGCCCTAAAAATGGCTGAAAATTGGTATTTAAAGGCCCTAAAATTCTTCCCATAACCAGGCCCTTAATTTTAGGAACAATCACAACGGATTGCAGGTGAACTGAACGGTGCACTCCGTGAGACTATTTTGGTCTCTGTTACTGGTGGAGGAGCTGCCGCACTAGTTCGGGAACCGTGCACGGCTCTTCTTTTCTTCTTGTTTTCAATTCAATCCTTAATAAAATTGTACGTCAGGTCCTTCAATGGTTTGTCCAAGTGTGCGAAAGCCTTACACGTGGACTTGAGTGGATTTGATTAGAAACCGAGGTCAACGAACCTTATTGATCTTAAAGACCTATTGCTTAAATAATTAAAAATCTACTATAAGTTAAGAATCTAATATTATATTTTTCTATTTCACATGTTTGTCTATCTAAAAGTCACATGCATGTTGGGAAATTAAGAGAAAATAATAAATTACAAATGCATCATCTTGTTTGTAGCTCAACTTTGACAAGGAATTTATCAAATTTTGACTTTTCACCAACTTTACTAAAGACGTAATAATTTCGATCCTAATTCAAATAACTAACAAGTTGGCATGTTTTATTATGTATTTTTCTTATATTTGCAAGGGATGCTTTGCATCAGGAGTCATTCAAAACTACTTGGTCCATAATAGAGTCATATGAAAAGGGATAAGCAAGTGTATTTAAAGTATGAAAACCCGTCGGGAAAATTATAATATATCGAACAAAAACTATTTTTTTTATTTTTTACTGATTTCGTTCTATTGACACCCTGCACTGGATAGCATTCATTGCTTTGTCGCGTTCTGTTTATTCTTAGTCCTGAAAGCTGAGTTAAATGCTTTTCTTTCAGCTTTGACGAGTTTTCACTGAGTAGAGGTAGAATTTGAGGGACACATCTTTTTATGCATAGAAGTTTTGCACTTGAACTGATGGATGTTGGAAAGTTTTCAAGACAAATTGGTTGAAGAGAAACTAATAATCTCAAATGGGAGGGTGCACTTTGCACGCTTGCATTACTTCTTGTTGATGGATAAAATTTCACATCAAATAAAGAAGAAAAATATAAAATTATTTATAAGTGCTTGGGCTACTCTTTTTAATAAGAGTTATCTTTTAAGATTGAACCTCAAGAATTAATATGCTATCAAAGCTCATTAAGTTCCAACGAGCAATTTAATCCGACTAATATTAAACAAGAGCACACGAATTTCAAGATTGACCTGCTCGTTTAAGCCACAATCTTGCTGGAGCATGTTGAGAGATAAAATCTCACATCAAATAAGGATTTGAATTACTCCTCTTAATAAGGGTGACTTTTTAAGATGGGACCACACGTCTTAATACTCATCAATAATAATTAGAGTTAAGGGGGTGATTTACACTTCAAGGATCACGACTGGAACAGCTTCCTTCTCATGCCTTCGACAAGAAAAAAATTCATCGCCAAGAATTTATACAAGAGGTTTGCACTATATTAAATGCAGTTCTTCTACTAATATTTGTAGTATAATCTTTATATAGTATAGATTGCAGTGGGCAACATCAAAAGCTGTCAGCCATTCAAAAGTTGAAAGAACTTTTAAGCCTGCTTTTCATTTCAATTCTTTATACATAAAACCATGTAGTAATAACAATGTGGTAAAAATTGTATCCAAATGATTGGATTTAGCGATCTCAACTTGAAAAACTTCAAACCTGCTAAAACTGCCAGGATGAAGCTGATTCCATAACTTATCCCAAAGCTGTGCCAATTGATTATTTCCTTTTCCGCGTCTTCTCTTCTCTCAGTTGTTCGTGGGGATGCGCATGGCCGCTCCAGAATTCGACCGCACAGCCCTGGATTTCCTTCAAAGCTTGAACTTGGAAATGGTCAAATTGACCTCCGACAGGTATCCGACCTTGAAGATTGTTGTATGCAGCACTAAAAAAGGACAGAAAATTAAGATTCTTGAATGATGCGGGAATTTCACCAGAAAGATGGTTGCCAGATAGTTCCAGTTTTTCCAAGTTTGTGAGATTAGATATCGAGTCAGGAATGCTGCCAGAGAAATTGTTATTGCTAAGATTCAGGACAACAATGAACTTCAACTGGCCAATATCAATCGGGATTGTACCACTGATTCTGTAACTCCCAAGGTATATTGCTGGTGGCAGGTAGGAGAGATCATTGTATTGCAGAATGGAGGCACCATTGGGCTTAAAGAAGACAGGGAACTCTTAATAATTTTTTGGTACGTGAACTGGTTCTGTTTTGCTAGTCTTCTTAGTCTTGTGAGTTCAACTGGGAAGTGTCCCGATAGAAGGTTTAGGGACAAATCCAAGTAGAAAAGGTTTGGAAGATTCCCAACCCAACCTGGGATGGAGCCTGTTATGTTGTTAAGAGATAGGTCTAGAACCTCCAGCTTACCTAGTCTAGACAACCACATTGGAATTTGACCATTTAATCCGCTGCCACTCAAAGACTTTGAGATTTTGGAACCCATCAACTCCTACCAAGTTTTCATTGTCGGGCAATGATTCACTGTGAAAGTTTTTTGAGAGGTCTAAAGTACTGAGGTTCTTGCACCCCGTTAGGAATCGTATTGCACTAGTAACATTGTTTAGGCTGCTATTAGAAAGGTATAAGAAAGATAGGGATTGTAATGCCATAATGTCAGGTAAAATCTCTCCATTTATGCTATTCGTAGCCAGACGAATATAAGTCAAATTCTTGCATGAAAAAAGAGTTGCTGGCAATCTACCAGTAAAGAAATTATTCCCCAGGTCAATTGATATAAGCTTAATGAATTTGGAGAAGTCAAAACTAGAAAGTTCACCTTCAAGGAAGTTGAGCCTTAAATGCAGCATTGTAAGTCTCGTACATTTAATAAGAGATTGGGGCAGAGTGCCATTTAGTTGATTTATGTGTAGTAGCAAATGTTCCAAGCTGGAGAGACTCCCAATATCTTGAGGAATCTTTCCTGTAAATTCATTACCATAGAGAGCCAGTGTTCTAAGGTTAACGAGGTTATCTATGCTTCCATCCATCTTTCCAGAGAGCTTATTGGCAGGAAAGTACAGTTCTTGCAGTGCTGAAACTTTGTAAATATCACTGGGTATGTGTCCCGAAAGATTATTGAAATCTGCTCGTTGAATCTGCAAATTGGAACACTGGCCAATACCTTGATAAATCTGACCTCCAAAGTCATTGTTGGAGAAATCAAGATGATGGATTGAAGTGAAAATCTGCGGAGAGATGAAGGAATTGGCCCAGAGAAGCTGCTGTTGCTGACATCAAATCTTTGCAAATTCAATGCTGGCTGGAGAAATGAAGGTTGAATAGTCCCATAAAAGCGGTTGCTGGATAAATCCACTGTTGTGACAGTATTCATCAACTTATTAGAATCTGATAAGTTTCCAGATAGCCGATTATTGCTCAAATCAATGATCACCAGGCAGTTCAAGGCCGTAAAAAATCCATCCAGGATAGGACCAGAGAGCCAATTCCGTGACAGGTTGAGTTCAGTGACATGGCTGAGGTTTACAATAAGAGGAGAGATGGTTCCAGCTAGCCCTTTCGACGGTAGCAATAGACTATTCACTCTGTCACTATCGTCACATCCAACTCCTTCCCAGCTGCAGCAATCAGCAGAAAGAGACCAATTCGAAGGATATGGAGTACTGATGCTCAGATTGAATAATGATAAAGAGTCTCGATCAAGTAAGTTACATGAGCCATGGCAGGTATATACAGAGCAAGAAAGAGCTACGACTACTACAATTAACAGCATATCCAAGAAACGCCAATTGGACGAAGAAGAAGAAGAATGGAATGGAGTCGAGCATGGCTGAAATAAGTTGATTATATGTGCTACTCTTGGCAAGTTTTTTTGTCGTTGTGAGTACAAAAAACAATAATGTACCTTCTTATTTCCAGAAATCAAAGGATGTAATGAAAACCTTAATTCTTCTGAAGGGTTTACTTTGAGACAGTGATTGATTGGACTTATTAGTTATTAAGCTCAAAATAGTTGAATTCGAAACCAAATGACCTTGGTTTTCATATGCCACAATTTTTATTTTTCCTTCTCTTAGTCAACGAAATTTCACCAGCTTCTTCAATTTAAGTAGTCAATTTGGCATATTTCATAATTTACTTTTCTTATTTTTAACACTTCGGAGAGCATTCGAAACTTGATTAGTTTATTTCATGAGTACCCTAAAGTTATAATCAGTGAATAAACTAACGAACTGCTTGCGAACAACTTAAAATTTCAAAGAGAATACATTTTTAAAAAACAACTTATTTTTTATTTCTTAAATTGCAAGATTTAAAACAAGTGAATTCCATTGAAAGAGAAAATGTGACAATCCATTTGGTTTATTCCTTTATCTCAAAGTCTATAACAAAATTCTATTAACTGGATGTGCACTCACAATAATTTTAAATGTATCAAACTATTTTTAAAACCAAATTGAGGATTAAAGATCACTGGTTCAAATACGTTAAATTTGAAAAGCAAAAAAAAAAAAAGTAGTTGATAAATGTTCGGATAAAATCCGCAAGCGTACGGGATTATTGATAAGTAATAGATTTAGAGAGTTGCGTTTTCGTCCCACAAGGAATAATTGCTAAATACAGTTTATCGATTTCTTTATCAAATTCGATCAACGTGACATAAAAGAGCTAGTTATTTTGTAATTATTCTATCTTGCTACGTATTACAAAAAGGTTGTTTTTTTATCAAATAATGAGATGGATGCATTGGATTGCAGAATTCACCTATCGATTTCAATTTCCAATTCTTGACTTATTTAAGTTAATGTTATTCACGTGTTCAAGACAATCGATAATCCACTAATATTTAATATTCTTTTCTAAGATATATTAAGCATATTCTTAGCATGATCCGACCCTATTCCTAGTCTGAATTCATATGCAAAGGAAGCATTCACTCACAAGATTTTCATACACGATTGCACACACCATAAATATTATTTCTAATATCTATTGACTATGTGTCAATTATACAATGTTCAAACCTATTGTTAGTCTGTCAACACTACAATAAGTAGCATGTTATCTAATTGGTAGCTAAACAATCGAAAAACGGAATAAGCATACATAATTAATCACAAAACACAAGAAAATAACTAAAATACGATAAATCAATTAGAAATCTAACTAGGTTTCATCATTCATCCAATACATAAGAAGTTTAGCTTAGCATTATGATATTCAAATTATACAAGAAGATATGGAAAGACATCACCCGAAGTAAAGTAATAGATGAAGAACTCATAAATTTGATTTTTTGCACTTCAATCCGAGCTTTGAAATTTCAAATTTTGTTGTAGAATTCTTCTTCGTCTCTTGCTAGACCCTCTTCAATGATAAAATAATGGTCAATCACATTGTGGACCTCGTTAGGTTATATAAGACGCTAAAAAAATCATTCCATGCATAGCCAAACCAAAAAAAAAAGAAGAAAAAAAACAATCTTTCCTTCGAAGTTGAACTAGGTGCGCACCTAATTATAGGTGGGACATGTATCTCTAAGGCCAATTTTGGCTTTAGGCTGTCCAGGAAGAGGTGCACCTAGAAATTTGTATTGGGCGCTTGCCTAGCTATGTCCCCGAGCAATCATTGGTGCTTTTGACATAACTTTGTCTCCCGATATCCGATTGAAGTAATTCAAAATGCACTGGAAAGCTAACTCAAGTGGTTACAATTCTTATAAAATCATTTTTTTCCAAATCGAACGTGTACTATGCTAAATATCAGTTTCAATCTGAGGCTGAAAATTTGGAGCATAACTTTTTCGATTGGAAATTGATCTGTGATAATACTTTGACTATATTTCACCCATTTGACTTTTTTTTTTTTATCCAATTGACTTCTAGCACATCTCCAATTTTCATCTAGAGATCCGATACAACTTTTGAGTATTTGTACTTTAGTCCACCGAACTTTGAAGCTCTTACAATTTAGCCATTTTTCACAAGTTTTCTCCAATTCCGTTATATATGTCGATTTGTACCTAACAAACACTACGCATATATAATTAAGTCATAGTTCGTCAAAGAACCAACAAATACTCTAATTTAAATGCTCAAATAAGTGTACAAAATACATTTATCAAATCCCCAAAATTGAATATTTATTTATCCTCAAACAAACTATAGCCAATTATCTCTTATTAAAGGTCTGGTTCTTTCAAACAAGTGTTCGGGGGCTTAATAAAATTATGTAGTACATTTTTTTTCTTTTTATCAACTCTAATGTACGGACTTCTCTCAATTAAGTCTTCTAAATGACCCTTGTAACGAGCTTTTGACCGATAACTCTCAAATCAGATGATTGTCAAGTTTTAAATACTCTTCCAGGCTTAATCACTAGAGTTATAAAGGTTATGAAAAGACGTTTCACAATGAGACAGTTTTTTCCTACTTTTTTCGATGATTAGTGCAATAACCCTCATTAAACACTCATTCTCAAAAATCGATGTTAACTTAAGATTTTTACCTAATTTTCATCTTATTGGTCTTGGACAATCCACACAAGAATTTCACTCATGGAATCCTTAATCATATCATTGTATTTCTACACTAGTTCAACTATCTCCAAACTATCCTAAAAGTAGTTTAGTGATGTATGTAATAGTGGTCTTTCTTGATTTTAGCAGCCAAGTTCCACTACTTTCAACCTATTCCAACACATGAACTACATCACTTATTCATGATGCAAAAAACACAAGTCTCGTGTGTAAGTAAGATCAAGTTTTACCTACATAAACATTAATCAATCCCAAATTGAAATATTTTAATCATTTCTAGTTTAACATGTAATTCCAATGTATACATCATTGCCAACAAGACCAACTAACCTACACAATCACATAAAAGCATTAAGACAAATTTGTTTTTTCCCTCTATATAACACACAACGAGCATTCAAAAACAATTAAAACATACAAAATCGATGATAATATCCCACACCAAACTTAAAACGTACATTGTCCTCAATGTTCGAAAATATAGCACTAAGTATGCAAAGAGAGGGACAAAGAGGGAAAACTGAAGACTCCCCCGATTAAGTAGAAGGTGGTGGCTGAAATGGCATGAAAGTGCAAGAGTTACATGGTCCGCTTGATCGCGTCATCCCTTTGTCTAGTATTAGTTTGAGTGTTCCTCAATGTCACGTTCCTATAAAATGAATAAAATTTAAACATTAGTAACCAAATAACATGGGACGTTTCATGCTAAACCCAAAACATCTCATAACCATCAAAAAATTCAATGGTCAAAAGGGAAACAAAATAGGGGACGTAGGCAGATTACGATCTATTCACATTTTTTTTTGTATGGATGATGATGCCTGAATAAAAATAAACCCCCTATCCTATATCCAGAAAGTATAATAAATAAAAGGGAAGAAAACTAGGTTACCTCCCAAAAATTACTTGTTTATAGTCATTAACTTGATTTTGTTGTTTTGCATCATGGAATTTTGATTAATGCTTTAGATGCCCAACCCAGTTTGCTTATTTTGACTTTGCTCCTCTTTTTAATGATTTCCCACATTGCCTCCTCCAAGGTGATATGACTTGCCTATTCCATCGATTCAAAATAAACTATTTAGATTTCTTCCTCCTCCTCGGGTTTAATCACAATTTGAGTTGTTAGGTAATCGATGAAGTCAAAAGAACGTGTGTTAATTTCATCTTCATTAATTGCCACTTCTTCTCTTTGATCCTTTGTAATTAATTTTTCATCATCCTTATGCTCTTCTTTAATAATTGATATCTTCTTAGGTTGAATAGCATGTTTCACAATCTAAATCCATGGGCAATGGCAATTCTTTCCTTTCAACCTTTTCAAGTGGATTATATCTCCACCTTTCAAATTCATCCCAAAATATAGAATATACCAAGCGTGTTTTGCTTTGACCTAACATGGCAAGTTCGTTATAATAGTTAGCAAGTGCCTCCTCTTTCAACAGGCAAGGACCAACCCCTTTACAACTGATGTCATCTTCCACATATGTAGATACATATTCACCCTCACGTATGTAGCCTTCATTAGAGTTGTCAATTGCTTATTTTTGACATCTTAAATATTGTTTAAATCACAAAAGTTTGGACATAAAGGGATTAGTACATGTATACAAGCATTGCCCAATATAATGTATCACATTACAAAGCTCACAATTTATGTCTTTCCAAGGCAAATCCTCATAATCCATGTCAAGATTACTCATAGCAAACAAATTTTACTCTGTTGCCGTCATGAAAACCATGCATATATTTCTATTTAGTACTTGGAAGAATACTAAGTAAGAGAGATCATGGTGGGTAGCCAAAATTGAGAAGAAGAACAATTGAATCCAATATCAATTAATAAACTAGAATGAAACAAATTATTCCCCGACAACGACACCAAAAACTTGTTCGGATAAAACCTGCAAGTGTACAGGATCGTTAACAAGTAATAGATTTAGTAAGTTGAGTTATCATCCCATGAGAAATAATTGCTAATTATAGTTTACCGGTTTCTATCAAATTCGATCTACGAGACACTAAAGAACTTGTTATTTTGTAATTATTCTATCTTACACTACGTATTATAAAAAGATTGTTTTTATGAAATAATGAGATGGATGCATTGGATTTCAAAATCCACATATTGATTTCTATTTCCAATTTTCGACTTATTAAGTTAGTGTTATTTCGGTGTTCGTGACAATCGATAATCCGTTAATATATGATATTCTTTTCTAATATATACTAAA